ATGTACAATGGTCCCTTTCTTTTTTCTCATGACTGACAGCTGGAAATGTGTCCTTCAGCATGTCCTCAACACCTGAAAGCAGACTTTCACTGATTAGAAGGGGGAGAAAGAGAACACGGGAGGACATGTTCACTGATATAATGAATGCCTCTGAGACAGCTGACACAGAGCTGAGAGCATGGAGGATTTCATTGTCTGAGAAGTTAGACATGGACATGGAGAGCAGGAAAGCTTACCATGAGCATGAGTGTGCGGTGTAGGATGAGATGCTTCAGATTATGATGGACCAAGCAGACATGTTGAGGCATCTGGTTGAACTGCAGGAACAGAAGCAGGAGGGTAGAGTCCCTCTGCAGACCCTGGTGGACAGCCAGCCAGCATCGCCTGGCACAGAATCACCCTCCCCGAAGCGTTCCATGAGGCATGGGAGAAAAGTCCATTATCCCTTTCACTTAACTCAGGGGGAGGGTACAAGGAACGGAAGGCGCCCATTCACAGACTTTTGATGGTGTAGAATGCGGTGTTATGTTACACTGCTGAAAATGTTTCTCCCTGTAATGGGGCGGAACTCACCCTTGTGGCGCCTCCTGCTGGTGGTCCAGGGAATTAGCGTTTCCAGCACTGGAGCGCCCTCTGCAGGCCGGGGTCTCGCTACCACTGGACCTGAGTCCCTCCTGGACCCCAGTGCCCCTTTCTGGCTGGGGTGCTGCCCCTTGGCAGTACCCCAACAGATCTGGGTCTCCCCTCCCCAGGGAACCCCCACCCTCTTATCCCCACCTCGCCTCAGTATATGGCTACTGCCAGTCGCCGTCTAGCCCCCGCTCACTGGGATGGACTGTAGTGTACATGCCATTCATCATAGGTAAGGGGGGTTTTGGACCTGCTGCCTCTGCCTGCCCTTGGGCTGCCCTCTGCAACCCCCAGTACCCTTTTCTGGCCTTTAACAAGCCTGCAGCCTGGGGGGTTTCTAGGCTGGAGCTCCCCAGCTCCTCTAGCCTTCCCGCAGCCCTGCTCCAGTCTTGGTACCCTCTCAGCTTCCAGGCAGCCAGGCCCTTCCCTCTCTACCGCTAGAGAGAGATTCTGTGTGCTCCTGGCCCACTGCCCTGATTGGGGCGTGGCCGCATCTGTGGATGGTTCCCCAATCCGCCGAGGCTTTCTTCACAGCCACAGCCCTCTCCAGGGCTGCTTTTAACCCATTCCTCAGGAGTACACTCCCGTTCCAACTTTATAACCCCTTTTCCCCAAGGCTAACTTTTTTTTCTGTTCTCGATCTTTACTTATGTTTGTTAAATAAAGTAAATGGATTCGAGAAAGAAATGTCCTTTATTGAGTAGAAGCAGTGGGCTTGGGTGGGGGGGTTGGCTTTACAGGTACAGCGATACAAGCCAGGTGAAGCTATGGGAAAGCACAATGCAGACAAGCAGCTCACATTACTATGACTCGTTATTGAAACGGCTTTTCAAAGTCTCATGGATTCGCCGCGCCCCTTGCTGTGCTCTTCTTATTGCCCTGGTGTCTGGTTGCTCAAAAATGGCTGCCATGTGATCTGCCTCAACTGCCCACCCCTGTGGAAAATTTCTCCCCTTTTTTCCCACAGATATTATGGAGCACACAGCAGGCAGCTATAACTATGGGGATGTTTTCTTTACTAAGGTCCAACCTTGTTAGTAAACTTCTCCAGCGTCCTTTTAAACGACCAAAGGCACATTCAATCACCATTCTGCACTTGCTGAGCCTATAGTTGAACCGTTCCTTACTGCTGTCCAGATGGCCGGTATATGGCTTCATGAGCCATGGGAGCAAGGGGTAGTCTGGGTTCCCCAGGATAACTATAGGCATCTCAACATTGTCAATGTTCATTTTGTGGTCTGGAAAGAAAGTCCCAGACTGCAGCTTTTTGAGCAGACCCCAGTTCCTAAAGATGTGCGTTTCATGAACCTTTCCTGACCATCCTACATTGATGTTGGTGAAACACCCCCTGTGATCCACCAGCACTTGCAACACCATTGAAAAGTATCTTTTTCGGTTTATGTACTCTTTGGCAAGGTGGTCTGGTGCGAAGATGGGGATATGCGTGCCATCTATTGCCTCACCACAATTAGGGAACCCCATCGCAGCAAAACCATCCAATATGTCCTGCAGATCTCCCAGACTCACTACCCTTCGTAGCAGAAGTTGATTAATGGCCCTGCATACTTGGAGCACAGCAGCTCCCATGGTTGATTTAACTACTCCAAATTGATTCCACATTGACCGGTAACTGTCTGGTATTGCAAGCTTCCAAATAGCGATCGCCACTCGCTTCTCCACTGTTGAGCAGCTCTCATTTTTGTGTTGCTGAACTGCAGGACAGGGGAAAGCTCTGCACAAAGTTCCTGGAAGGTGGCCTTTGGCATTCAAAAGTTCTGCAGTCACTGCTTGTCATCCCATACCTGCAAAACGATGTAGTCCCACCACTCAGTGCTTGTTTCACGGGACCAGAAACGGCGCTCAACAGAGTGCAGCTGCTCTGTGACTGCCAGCAGCAACTGTGAATTGTTTCTTTCAATGGCTTGCAGCAGGGCTGCTTGCAGGACGTCACTATGTTCCATGCGGACCCTACTTCGGCTCTGGAAATACTGCAGGAGAAGGCGCGAGGTGTTTGAAATGCTCACAGCAAGAGTGCACAACTGAGCAGCCTCCATGCTTCTGGGGATATGGCATACGTGCGGCGGTTTTAAGGCGCGAAAACCACTGGGTTGTTTGCCATTGACATGAGGGAGGGAGGACAGTGCATCATGGGATGCCAACGCAATGTTCCCATTCTCCCCTGTGACAATGTTTTGGTCCCATGAAGCATTGCAGAAACTTCCCAAAACACACTGCGGCAAGTTGCACTTTGGGATAGCTACCCACGATGCACTGCTTTGTGAATCAATGCAAGCGCTGCTAGTGAGGACACACTCCATCGAGACAATGAGCATGGTGTGGCCACGCACAATCGACTTAATTAATTCGGAGGCACGAGGTCGAATTAGATAAAGTCAATTTAATTTTGTAGTGTAAACAAGCTCCTATTTTGACACCATCAGGGCATGCTGCTAGACTCAAGCTGAGAGAGACTGGGAGAGCTAGCAGGAAGCCATAAAGATCAGATCTATGTTCTTGGCTACTGTCTTATGATTCATTTTAATTGGTTGGAGAGGGGTACTTAGAGAAGCTTGTTTATTGAACTGTATTTTTAAAATGTGCCATGGAGCATTTAGAGCAAAGGCTGGAATGTGTGTGTTTATACAATTTAGGAGAATGTTCCCTTTCTTTGCAGGAGTTCTTATCCCATCCTTGCCACAGGCTAGAGAAGTGAGCCCAGGATTGGGAGTCAGGAACTCACAAATTCTAATCATCTATGCCTGTGCAAAGTGGCTGTTAAGTGTCACCAGAGCAGCCTGCCATTCTGTCCTTTCTTTGCACAGGTGTTAATTCGTACATAAAGTGCAAGGCCGTGGAGAACTGGGGCCTGGGAGTGTAGAAATATTGTCTGTGTATGTAGAGGTTTTGTGAGAAACAAATCAAGGACTGTTATTCAGTTACAAGTGCATGCTAGAGTGTTCCACTACTTACTATGAGTCACATATTTATTTTATTATTTTGGGTTAATTATGTGTATGGAAATACTTACTAGGGGTGGAAGAATGAAATTAATAAAGTGTACAAGTAAACCGATAATACATGTGGTAACCCTGGGCAACAGGGCCTGATATGGTGTTGCCAACTCCCATTATTTTTATCACAAGTCTTGTGATATTTCCTGTTACCTGGTGCTGAGAATCTCAGCTTTGTTAAAAAAAAAAAAAATTGGCCTTCATGTTTGTGGAGGAAAGCCTGGACTGTGTGAATTGAATGTAACCTAGAGGTTGAGAAACCAAAAGAAAAATAAAAAGAATGCAAAATTTATTTGTTCAAAATCTCATGTTTTTAAGCCAATGGTTTAGGGGGGTCTGACTCATGTGTTTTGACGGACTGGGGCTAGCAAAACTGCACTGGCAAAAGAGCAAACGTATCTGCATCATTAATACTTATTAACCAGTGTTGTGAACTCTAATGATTTTATGGTGACTTTCATGATGTTGGGTGTTTTTTCTCTTTGTTTCTTTAAAGCCTCAGCTCCTGAACTTATGTGTTTAGGTGAATATCTGAGCTTTAATTAAAAAAAAAAAAAGAGAACTAAGTTTCTATCCCTGATGGTTGTAGAGAAGAAGGTTAAACATGAAACCTAATGGCCCCTAAAACAGAAGGCAAATACCCACCCCTCTGAATTGTCTTTTTAACCCTTATGATTTTAAGCCACCTCATGGATTGGCATGGAGGAGCTGGCTCATGACTTTGTTGCTTGGGGTTGGCAGGACTGTGGTAGTAAAAGCACTGGGCAGTTCTTCAGTGAGAGTAGGGTGACCCCATCTTCCCATATTATTAGGGCCATGATCCTGGTATTAGGGGCTTTGTCTTATAGAATCTCAGGGTTGAAAGGGACCTCAGGAGGTCATCTAGTTCAACCCCCTGCTCAAAGCAGGACCAGTCCCCAGACAGATTTTTGCCCCCAATCCCTAAATGGCCCCCTCAAGAATTGAATTTACAACCCTGAGTTTAGCAGGCCAGTGCTTAAGCCACTGAGCTATCCCTCGCACCCAGTATATGCAACTACACCGCCCTCTCCCTGGAAAAAAAAATGTTCTGATTGCTATTAGATCACCCTATGAGAGAGTGACAGTTCAACAGCTCCCAGGGGCGAAGGCAAAGCAAAATAGGACAGAGCAGGGCAGGGGTGGGAAGGAAGGGGCCGCCCCCCAAGACCCAGCCCGGAAAGGAGCGAGCCCAAGTGAGGCAGTGCTGGGAGCCAGGGCAGCCTCTCTTAGAGCAGGGGAGGGAGAGGGAGAGGGAGAGGGACCTGCTTTGTTCCAAAGACTACATCTCCCAGCTGCCCCGGCACGGCCGCCCCTTCTCTCCGGGGAGTGTCCCTTGCACTTGCAGACGAGCAGCGGCTGCAGACTAGGCTCTGCGCACCCCAGTAGGCTCAGCCCTCGGGATTCCCCAGGTAAAACTTCTCGGGGGAGTTCTTCAGAGTTGCTCCGAGCACCAGGGATAACTTCCTGAAGCGGCCAAGTGGCGCCTGGGGAAACTCCAGCGGGGGTGGCTGGGCTGGCTACTGCTCGGGCAGTGGGGCTGGGAATGTGTTAGGTGGGGTGAGACTTTGGGGGCTGCATGGGGCGGGTGTGATGGGGCTGAGCCAGCGTGGGCTGGAGTTGAGGGTTGTGTGTGTGTGTGATGGGGGGCGGGGGCTACGGTGAATGTTCCCTGCCTGGCCTGGGGGAGTCTCTGCACTGTGGGGTCGGAAGGGAGGGAAGCACTGGGCTGGGAGCTGGTTGTGTGTGTCTTTGTGCTGAAGCTGGGGGAGGGGAATGAAGGGGGTGTCTCTCCTCTGTACCTCTTTTCAGTCCTGCCTTTCTGGGGGGACAGCAGCTCTCAGAGCAGGGTTCAACTGCCTCATCCCTCCCTGCTGCCTTGGGCTCTCCCCCCCGGGTGTGTTCTGGGGGCACCTGTAGTCTTGCAGGTGTGAGTTTCACTCTCAAGGCAGGCACTGAATTCTGGTTTCTGTGAGTGTGTTTGTCTTCCTGGTTAATTCCTTGGCACCTGCTGGCTCCTGGTACCAACACTCCTCCAGCCCAGGACTTGCTGCTCTTTACCTTTCCAAAGTTTGGAACGGCACTAGGCTTTTGGATGCTCCCAAAGCCCCAGGGTATTTCTGGCTTCTGCTTTTGGCTTTTTGTTGTTGTTAGTTTTGGATCAGTCTCTTAAAAGTTAAGACACTTGTACAGGCATTGTAGTGCAATGCTTTAGAACTGCCACCTCCCTCTTTCCCCTTCCCTTATTACTTTCTGTTGGTCTCCTTTTGCTTTCTCATGATAGTAGCCATTTTCCTTTTTGGGGCTCTAGCGAGAGGGAAAACCTCTTTCTCTCTCCCAAAATCATCTGGGGGGATGAATGCTACAGGTGACAACGTTACAATAGATATGTGGGATTTTTTCACCCTTAAGGTTTTTCTTCTAATTTAACCTCCTAGCAGATGACAAGTAACTAAATCAAGACCCTTGCCTTCTCATCCTTGGCTTTGAGTTACATTTAATGGGACAGATTGCGCCCAGTAATGAAACATATAACTAGCCTTGGACAACAAAGTTGGTTCACCATCCTGATTAAATGCTAGATCCATGATTATGACATGTTGGGGAGATGCTGACTCTATTGTCTAACACCGTGCTGAATGTTAAGTTATCTATGTATGTGCAGCTACTCAGATTTAGATTTCTTTCAAATGGGAAGCAGAGCTTTTCTCACCATGCAGAAGAAAAGGCATCTCTAGTTTTAAAAGCTTGTATGTTTCAGATCTGAGCTCATTTTATATATAGCTCCACATTTTGCAAACATCCTGAAATTTGAGGGCATGGCTGCAGCTGGGATTCGATTCAGGCTCTATCTCCATTTTACATACACACTTAAGTGATCTTATCAGAAAAAGAGAACCAGTTGTTGTGTGAATTGGCAGCCTCATTCTTCTGTCTCCCAGCAGGCCAGATCTCCCAATGTAAAAAGTGAACAGTTGTGTTTGTAGGTTTTGATTTCTTGTTTTTCCCTGTTGCAGGCCTGAGGACAATGGAGTCGGTGGAGAAATGGCACAATGATTTCATAGCCTTCAAGCTTCTGGACAAAAAATGTAACTCAAAGAGGAATGGGGTTACAGGTGAGTGAGAGAAGGGGAAATAGGATGTGGGCCCAGACTCGCCCAACAGGAGTCCCTGGAGGGAAGGGTGTAACAACTGCAGCAACATCAGTCTCAGTGGGTTTCAAATGCTGTAATGTATATTTCAAAGCCTGCTGTATCCCCTTCATGCCACCACCTCCAAAGAAGGCTTGTGGCCTAATGGTTAGGGTGGAACATGGAAATCAGAACTCCTAGGTTCTAGTCCCAGTTCTGGTTAATTACTCAAGTGAATGCCCAAAGTCATACCCTAACGTCTCTGTGCCTCAACTTCCCCATCTGCAAAATGGCAGTTACTGACCTACCTCACCAGGGTATTGGGAGGCTTAACCAGCCTGTGGGAGGTGCTCTTGCCATCTACAGTCCTTACAAAAATGATACGATAAAAGATTTTAAGCCAAAAAATTCAAATTAGGGAGCCTAAGGTGAGGCCCCCCTAAAGCCAAGCATATGGCCACTGGCAACTGTTTAACTAAAGGTGTGTTTCAAAACCAACTTAATTAAACTGCTGCATCCCCTGTGTGGACACTCTTATTTTAGTTTAAGGTAAACTGAAATAAACTTGTAGTCTCTTAGGAACAAAGTTATGTGGAACTCTTCTGCAAATTCTTAAGCATGTGCTTAACTTTAAGTACTTGAAGTCAACAGGACTTGACCATAGTGAAGTGTACCACATACAGAAGTGTTTGCAGAATCCTGGCCTAAGAATGCCCACATATGAGGTTTGCACCAGTTAAGCTAAACTAGCATAAGTTTGTATGTACATGACACACAGTGACCCCTGTGATCGCAGTGGGGGATCTGCCTGTGCAGAGGTAGCAGACTCCCAAGGCTTGATACAGCTGTGTGGGTGTGAGGGGAGAGCTCTTCTCTAAGGCTGCCCATCACTTGCCATACCCAAGTGCAACAGGGTAACATGTCATGTCTGATGTATGGTGATCAGCTGCTGTTTTGAGGCACCATAATACTAGAAACAAGGGGATCTATCATGGATGGAGTGGAAGCCAAAGCGTCACACTTGCTGGCCTCAGGAGAGATGTGAAGATTGTCTGAAAATAGTGTTTGTGTTGTCTGATTCTGAAGTTAGCTGGAAACTGGCGACAACTTAAATGTGTGCTTTAGGGAGGGACTCTGTAATAAGCACGTTATTCCGGGGAAGCTGGTTTTAGGATGTTGTGGAGTAAATTCAGTACAAACCTGATTATTTTAAGATCTCTGGCATGGGAGGTGAGTGGGTTTCAGCTAATTGAAGAATTGGCCCAGTGATCTCTGTTGCCTGCACTGCGTCTTCTAAGCCCTGATCAGCGTGGAAGCAGGTTGCCAGGCCATTGGTACTTGGAAGCATCTGCGCTCTGGATTTGTGGTTTGTACAGCACAGCGAGGAGTTGCTGGCCAGCAGAACATTACCCTGTATATGTGGCATAGCCGGGACTGTACTGTACCTATTTAGATGGTGCTTAGTCATAGGCCGTGGCAGGATGCTTGTGAGCAGTTGCTGTCTGTCCTGTGGGTCTATACTTGGAAATACTCTAAATAAAGTGGGGTTTTGCCCTGATACATCAGGTCACTTGCAATGCCCTTGCTAATATGCATGTCCTTCTCAATTTTCCAGGCTTGATTGTAAAGCACCTTCAGAAAACCTTGAAGATGCCCAGCTCCTTGCAGCTCTCCTCCTCGGTGGCTCTCTCCCAGCACTACACAGGTGGGTGTAGGCGTATGAGATGTTCCAAGCGGCAGCCTATTTTTAAACCTGGCTTTTACACAGCTCCTGAGGAACCATGGAGAGCTGCAAAACAAATATTGAGGAGCAACTGGTTAGCAGGGAAGTGACTGGCCTTGGGGGTTTTGTGTGGAGTGCAGCTAGGCTATTGCTCCCTTCTTAAAGATGTATAGAGGGTTTCCAGACGAATAGCCCTGCTGTTATTTCTTAGTGGCTTCATGACCCAGAAAGCTTTGTCAGTGGTTCGGGGGTGGGAGGCAGGAACGGGCTTTAAAATGTTAATCATTTAAGCCTACTGGGATCTAAATCTGTGCGTCCTGCATGTTCTGTTCAGACGCTTGCCTCTTTCGTTTGTAAGCTCTTTGGGGCAGAGACCGCCTCTGACACAGACACACACACACACACACACACACACCCCTCTCTGTGTGAGCACAGATTGGTGAATGCATGGTCAGTGCTTCTTAAAGTCCATGGTCTTGGATTGGAAAACCTAACTGTTAACCTGTTGGAGCGAGGTTTTTGGGAGTGCTTTCTGCTGAACTCTGTAGTTGAAGAGTATGTAATTATATCTCAGTTTCTTAGCATGGTAAGTTCTCAGCACAGGGCTGGGTGCTAGAAACGTATGGCTTCTAGTGCTGGCTCTGATTAGAACATCTGGTAGGTGGGAGGCTGACGTTCAGAGGGTTCTGTTACTCAGGTTCCACACTCCCTAACCAGCTGTGCATTAACATAATTAGAGAGAGCTACATGCAGTAGGGTGAGTTGGGGCTTCTTCTCTCCCTCCTGTAGCCTAGCCTCCCTTCATTCCCTCTGTAATCTCTGTGCTCTACATGTGGGGGAGAGTGAAACTGATCTGTCAGCTTCATTTGTTGCTGCTTCCATGTGGAGTGGAGCATTTGGTGGGGAGGGGTAGTAAGTGTGGCACAAAGTTTTGGCTCATTGAGCTTTTCTGTGGCTTGCGTGACAAGTCCTTTCACCTCTTGGCCTCCGTTTCCTCTTCTCCTTTAAAACTTGCCTCACAGGGATGTGAGGATTGATTAGTGCTAGTGCTTTTAGAGATGCGTGGTACTGCACAGTAAAGCTACTAAGCACTAGCCTCTATGTAACTAAGGGTTGTCAGGAGCCATTGGGTCTGTAATGAAACGCTCTGGAAACAAATGGACTCCAAGCTCAATATTTCATTGTTTCGCCTTCCACAAAGTGGGAAAACCGCAAGCACCCTGACAAATGGACTGAAAGGTTTCACTGTAGCTTCTGAGTCCCTCTGAATCTCCAGCTAAAATGCTCTTTCCATAATTGGTTCAAGCTCTTCTCTCAAGGAATCTCATTATTCCTGCAGCAACAGCAGAACATTAAAGGGAATGTTGAGGAAAGGCTTATTAAGATGCACAGAGCCCTGTCTCTCGACAAGGCAGGTCTTTGTGATGAAAGCACTTTCTGTGCATGGGTCGCTTTCTCTATCCCTGCAGGCTCTTGTCCAAACTTGATGATGAATAGGAATGAAGCGCTCAATCGAAAGCCTGACAATGTATCCCCTGCACCCCAGCTGCCCACTAGGAAACATCGAACGCTCTGCTTTTCGCTCTCATCGGATGGGGATGGCCACTCTGATGGCCTGGTGTCCCAGGGGTGGCGGAGGAGTCTGCAGGCTCAGGTGAGGAGTGATTTGGGTGTGGTTGTGGCATGTGCTCTGTCTGATACAAGGGTAACTGGCTAGTTAGATGTCAGGGCATAGACATTTTTGAGGCTTTTAAGGCCTCTAGTGTAATCTGCTCCTGTGGCAGTTTGATATCTTGGCTGCTTGGCTGGGCCTACTGCCATCTCTGGCCCCTCTGCTGCTCCAGCTGCCCGTGAAGGTCTGAGAGAACAGGGTGCCAGCAGTCTAACCAGTCTCTTTGTCTTGCAGATGGAGCAGGCTCACAGTGGTGGAACTGCCAGCAGCACAGGGTCTCTGGAGCGGGCGTCCCTTTTCTGTGCCTCTAGATCCAATTCTTCCTCTAGTTCTACCTTGTCCAGTCCAGTGGGTCCACTCACCAAAGCCAAATCCTCCAGCCGGTTCTCCCTGTTCTCTCCGCCATCTTGGAACAGCAGCGCCGAGCTGGATTCCAACCCTCTGTCCTGCTCCAGCTCCAAGAAGTCCCACAACTACAGCCAGAGGGGGGGTGCGAAGCCTGAGGAGCCCAGTGACCCAAAGCCAGGAGGACCGGAATACTTCAACTTCTCGGAGCCCGTCATCGCCAGGGTGATGGACTGCATCTACCTGGGGAACCTCAATGCGGCCTACTGCGGGAGGGTGCTGTGCAGGAACAACATTGACAGCATCATCGACATGAGCAGCCTGCCCAGCAACTGCAGCCTGAGTGTCATTCCATGCACATGCAGCCGAGGAGGGCTCCGGCACAGCTGGTCCCGCCTCAAGGTGGACATCCAGGGCCCCCTGCATGGGGAATGTCCTGCCCTGAGGGAGCCTTGCTTCTGGGACATCAATGAGTGCATTGAAGCCTCTTTGGAGAAAAGGAAGCGGGTTCTCATCCACTGTCTGGATGGCTATTCCCTGGCCCCTACCTGTGTCATCCAGTACCTGATGGTGAAGCATAACATGAGGCTGATGGCAGCTTATGAGTTTGTGAGGGCCAGGTACCCGCTAAACATCCGTGAGTGCCATCGGGATATGCTGGTGGGCCTGGAGAGGTCTCTGCAGCCCGGAGATGTGGACATGGAGCGCTTGAAGCATTCCATGTCCCGGAAGGTAGCATGGACTTAAAAGGACAATGTGGCGAGGGACGGAGTGCTGTAACTGCTCGGTACTAGCCCTGAAGTGGAACCCGAGGCAGCCCAAAAAAAAAAAAAATAGCCTTCATCTCCCTTAACGTGGTGACTGTAGCTGTTCCATATGGAAAGAGGACAATGCTGGTGCATGCTCTAGAAGCTGTGTGCAACGCAGGTGGCTATCCTGGGCAGTCGCTGCTGTGGCCATAGTGCAGCAGAAATGGAGTGTGGGAAGGTCTCTCAATCTGTGTAATGCTTCACAAGTCACTCTGGACAAGGATTACTGGGAGGAAACCTCAAGGCACACCAAGGTGTGTGTCAGCAAGGTCCTGAGTTGACTCTCTGTAAAGCAGGGCTAGGGGTAAGACATAGGTTTGTTCAGTGATTCTGGACAGGTGTTTCTAATGACCACTGGGTCATTAGACCTCTCCCTACTGGGAATCATAGCTAGGTTCTTATGGAAGGCACCGTGTCTATAGCCAATTCTCTCAACTGTTTTCGGGATCGGGGGGAAGGGTTGTAATTTGGGTAAAGAGAACATGTTAACACCTGAAAACAGGTAGCAATTCTGGCATCAGAGCACCCTTTGGGACTGTGATAACCAGTCTTTGGTTTGTTTATGAAGGACATTAAACTAGTGTCTTCTGGTGCCACATTGGATTCATTATTACATGACACACATGGAGCGCCTGTAGTGTGCAAAGTGCTTTCAAGTAGAAGATACAGCCCCTGTGCTCCAAGTGCTTACAGTCTAATAATAGAAAAGATGAGAAGATGCGGGAGGTGAGAAAAAAGATGGGGGAGGGAGGACAAGGGTAACAGCAATGGCAGTGGGTGATTGGTTAATGTATGCCAGTCGGCTTAGTCTCCCACCATCTCCTAGCAACATCTACATGTGGATTCCTGAGAGCCCAGGACAACAGTGCAGTAGTCCAATCTCTGGATTATTGGGCAGATCCTCTGTGGTGTGCCCAGGTCTTGTCTAAACTTCAGACAGGAGGAGCCTGGGCTGAGCTGTTCCTGGAGCCATGGTCACATTCATCATTCTGGGGGTGTTGTACCAGTTCACCAGCTCCATGGAAACTCCACCTCTTCCTGAAGTTTCACGTGTCTGCTCCTGGTCAGGGTGGCTTTCGTGTCCTCTGGCAGCAGGTGGCTTCTCCTCTAACTCAGAGCAAAGCTCCTCTCTGAAGGATCAGAGTTTCCTTACATTTTCACTAAGTTTCTGCATGGATCTTCTCCTCCTTCAGTCTCTAGCTAAGTATTGCTCTTCTTCAGTCAGAAACTGGTGCCCTTTCTCACACTTGAACATCATCACTCTGACTGGCTGTTTGATTTTCCTGACACTTGTTGGGGTTCCTCCTTGCCTTGGCTTCCAATTTGAGCCTCTCTGATTATTTGTACAGAACATAAGGAGCTTGCTGGAGTTCCACCTTGCACTTCTGGGCTGCCTGCTCTAAGGGAAACCTCCCAGAGGCCCGTGACCTCTGATCTCACCCAAGGTTACAAAGGAAGTAGCCTAGTGGCTTTATCATCATACTAACCCATTGGCTAATCTAAACCTTTCACTGGAACTTCTGGCCCATGGTCTGAGGGTGAATAGGACTGTTTGATTCCCCCTGTGATTCAAAAATACTACACTACTTTATTAAAACAACAAAGTGACGGGACCATCAGGTTCTATGACCTGAGCTCTCCTTAACCTTTCAGCCCAACATTTGAAAGTGTAAAGCAGTAACAAAACTCTTAATAAAAGTCCATACCCGTCTTGCCTATGTGGACTCTGATACTTCTCTTTCAGCTTGGCCTACATACAAGGCACCCTTGAACTCTGGGAACGGTGTGGAGCAGGCTTAGGACTCTTGTGTATTGCAGTGGGTGTATGAACTGTACTGGGTGCTGTGGAAGTGAATTGGGTAACCCACCAGTTCTGGGCATCACTCCTAGTGCCAAGCAACTATTCGTAGGGCTTGTGGGCAATTTGTTGCTGAACTGTGTAGTTTTGCGTGCAGCAAGAATGTTGTTTAGTTGAAGAGCTTGCAGTAGAGTCCTTGGAGACAATAATAAAGACTGGTTTAACTTTGGGAAATGTGGCTTGCCTAGCTGGTGATAGGAAGAACAGAAGCAGTGCCGTTAACCTGTTTTGCTAAAGGGCTGCTGTAGCCCGATGCGGGAAACCACCTATTTAGAAATGCTACCGTTCTCTCTTTCTTTTTCATTCCTAAGGAAGAATCTCTGAAAAACAGCCTCTTGCAGAAGAATTGAAGCAGCAGGAGCAGATATTCCTCCCAGGAAGTTGTGGGTGCATCTACACTACAGAGGCTATACCATCATTGCTAGGGTCCTACCAAATTCACAGTCCATTTTGGTCAATTTCACGGTTATAGAATTTTAAAAATAGTCAATTTCATGATTTCAGCTATTTAAATCTGAGATTTCATGGTGTTGTAACTGTGGGGGTCCCAATCCAAAAGGGATTTTTGGGGGGGGTCCACAAAGTTATTGTAGGGAAGTGAAGGGATTGCCACCTTTACTTCTGCGCTGCTGCTGGTGGTGGCGCTGCCTTCAGAGTTGGGCAGCTGGAAAGTGGCAGCTGCTGTCCAGCAGTCCAGCTATGCAGGCAGAGCCACCAGCAGCAACGCAGAAGGAAGGATGGCATGGAATGGTACGGTATTGTCACCCTTACTTCTGGGCTGCTGCCTGCAGAGCTGGGCCCTCAGCCAGCAGCCGCCACTCTCTGGCCACCCACCTCTGAAGGCAGCAGGTTCAGAAGTAAGGGTGTCATGGCATGGTATTGGCATTCTTACTTCTGCACTGCTGCTGGTGGGGCGCTGCCTTCAAAGCTGGGCACGTGGCCAGCAACCGCCGCTCTCTAGCCACCCAGAAGGCAGTGCAGAAGTAAGGGTGGCAAAACCACAACCCCCCTTACAATAACCTTGTGACACCTTCCCCTCCCCTCTCCTTCCCCCCCCCCCGTGACTCTCTTTTGGGTTGAGACCCCCAGTTTGAGAAATGCTGGTCTCTCCCGTGAAATCTGAATGGTATAGGGTAAAAGTACACAAAAGACCAGATTTCACGGGCCATGACACATTTTTCACAGCCATGAATTTGGTAGGGCCCTAGTAATTGCTATGTTGGCTTAGCTGTGCCAGTATACCCCCCTAGTATAGACGCAGCCTCCAGCCACAGAAGGAGTTTTTCAGTCAATGTAGGAACACCACCTCCCCAAATGAAGTTAACTGTATTGACAGAAAGGCTTCTGTCGACATAGCTGTGTCTACATTGGGCGTTCTGTCAGCATGGCGCCATTGGTCAGAGATACGTTTTTTTCACATCCCTGACTGATGGTAGCTATGCAGATGTAACTTTTCAGTGTAGACCAAGTCTGTCTCTTTGCTGGCAATATTACACTCCTCCGTAGTAGCCTCTTCCATCATGTAGACCTTACCTACAGTCCGATTTTTTTGTCACTTTTCCCAGTCACGTTGCCACCAGTTCATCTCCACGGCTGATAGCCACTAATGTAGGCAGGATGCCGATAGCTATAAGCGTCATAAACTCCACATTCACTAGGCCCATTCTGAGCACAGAGTAAAATGCTGGTGCTCTGTCTAAACTAGTGCTCCCATCATCACTTCCATTGCTGGAGCTGCGGCGATGAGGACACTTGATGGAACAATGTCAGTGTAGACAGAGCCAAAGGGGAAGACTAGTGAATGGATCTGATCCCATGAGGAAGGGTGATCTACTGGATACAGTGCTAGCCTTAGACTTGAAAGACCTGGGTTTGATTCCCTGACCTGCACCAGACTTCTTGTCAAGACTTCAGATTACTTAGTTTCACTGTTCCTCAGTTTCTTATCGGTAAGAGGGGGATAATAGTATGTCCCTAGTCACAGGGGTGTTGAAGATAAATATGCTGGTAACGGGCCAGATAACTACTTTAGATCCTGCTCCTGTGGAAGATAATGTCAAAACGCCCATGGACATCATTAGAAGTGGGATTGGGCTGTGTGGGTGGAATAAGCAGCCGGAACAGATAATAGCATCAGCAATAGCTACTGTCATTTCCTGACAAATGGCCTTAGTAACAACATTGGGGCAGAGAAATAAGTCTACAAGGAAACTGGCTTGCAGAGAGGCCACAGTTTCCTAGGACAAGTCCAGCAGCTTCTCCGTTATCAAACTGCATGTAAAAATAAGCATGAAAGTCAATGGGACGTGTGCTCCAAATCAGGTTGGTGCTTGTCAACATCCCTGCAAGGCTGGCTGTTTTCTAACGCAGGGCCTACCTGAGCAGTGTGAGTTGCAGCAGCTATTTGAGTAGGGCTCCAATTATTGTTAGGTCTCTGAAGTGTACATTACCGCCAGTGTCCAATTTGGCTATTAAACCAAAACATACACTCTGCTCTCTTGGCTCCTGTGAACGAGGGCCAGTCCCAGGGGAAGGAAATGAGGGGGTGGCGGGGCTGGGAGGAGAGAAAGGAAGTGAACCTCTGCTATGCTGCTGTTCTACCAGCAGATGGCAAAAAGTAGTCATCTTTCCACCCGTGATGCATGCACTGTAAAAGCCAAAAGAACAAGGAGTCCTTGTGGCACCTTAGAGACTATGCCCACGAAAGCTTATGCTCAAATAAATTTGTTAGTCTCTAAGGTGCCACAAGGACTCCTCGTTCTTTTTGCTGATACAGACTAACACGGCTACCACTCTGGAACCTGTAAAAGCCAAGTTTGTCTTCACATATTTTCTTCACATGACGTTTTAGTGTGAGTCTCTCTTTAAAGTAAACTTGACTTGCAGTACTACTCAGCAATTGAGTTGTGCTTCCGTGTAGCAGAGAAGCTCTGATAGCAGGGGCTATCTTTGTGACTTGTTTGCACAGAGTCTAGTTTACATGGGGCCCCGATCCTTGGTCTTCCTAGGTACTACCATAATAGAAATAATAGTGCAAAGGAAAAGAGTCCCTTCCCCCACAAAGAAAGAACTTCCTGGCCAAGGTTATGAAAACAGGGATGTAATTTTACACATGTGCTTGCTCATGGAATGAGAGTGGCAGTACCAAGAGCACATAATAGTGTGCATCTCCTTCCTCCCATCAGCAAGAGGCTTCTGATGAGCTAAGAATCTTTCTATGTATTTCCAAGAGCCCTGAGGTGGATTACAGCCATGGGGTCAGATCCCCAGCTGGTGTAAATTGGCATAGGTCCATTGACTAGTGGAGCTGCACCGGTTTACAACTGCTGATGGTCTAGTCCCTGATGTTACAGAATCTCTCCTCACCTCTATCCCACAAAAGGGTTGCTGGGCGGGGAGGAGGGGTGTTGCCATTGAAAATTTCACTTCTTGCGAGGGGCAAAACTCATTTGCTGCTAAGGTGAGAAACTGGCCCTTCACACTCTGGGCTTTCTGTTTATCTGCCGTGCTGCAGGCAACAGCATCTGTGGCTGCTCTGATGCTAGAAGGTAGCAGAACAGGAAGTCTGCAGCAGTGAGCCTGCTGCTTGCTGCTAAAGGCTTACTTATTTTAAAGATGATGCCAGAGCTGACTTTGTATTGGCCTTGAAACACCAGTGGAGTTGGAGTGTGGGGGGGAGCAGAATGAGGTAGAGCAGGTACGGGAATGGGAATCTAGGACCCTGATTTCTAATTTTTACTTTGTGACCGTGGGCAAGTCACTTCACCTCTGTGCGTCTCCTTTTCTTCGTCTGTAACATGAAGACTCTGACACTAGTCCTCCTTTTTAATGTGCCTTGCGATCGATGGGTGAAGAGTGCTAAGGAGCAGAAAGAAATCCTGACCTCATTATAGTTGGGAAGAATGTTGCTATTTACTTCACCGGGGCTAGTATTCTAATGCCTCTCCTCCCACCCCTCTGTTTCCCACTGTGCAGTGCAGTTCTGCCATGCTCACACCCTCCCTTGGGCTGCTAGAGGAAAAAACTGTATCCGTTTTGATGCCCACAGCAGACTACCTGAAAAAAGACAGTAACGGCCCTGTCCATGTTGTGTTGCCAAAAGCATGATAGTTTCTTCCAAGGTGGGAATTTGGCCAATAACCTGTGTGTGCGTGGGTGTGTGTGCGTGGGTTGCTAGAAGAGATCTGCAAGAGGTAGCTCTTTGGGGCCCTTGAACATACCCACCAGCATGAACGTGGATGAATTCAGCCAGCCACAAGCATGCTACTGAGATGAGCCCCCAGAACTACTGAAATCTCTTTATTTTCTCTGGTACAGGTTGGGATTATTCATTTTGTAAAATTATAAAGGATGGGTTTTATTTAACCCCCTCTTTGGTTTGCTTTTTAAAAATGCTTCTCGTGTTGAAGCACCATGTGCAGAAGGGATGGAGGGCTTGTCAATTTTGATCATGTGAAATTGAAGGTGAAATGAACTTATGATCACATTGTATGCTTGGGGACCACTGTTTCACATGCTACAACTGCAGGGGGCCGGGAAGGGGAGATGGTGGTAGGGAGTGAATGTAAACTGCAGGCTTCTTAGGCCATGTCTACACTACAAACTTTTGCTGACTCCTCAAGGCTACAACGGCTGCTGATAAAACCCACAGGGGTGCCATTGTCAGTATGGTCACAATGGAAAGTGAACGTTCAGGTTTAGAACTTCCTTCCCTCGCTCCCCTAAAGTTTTAAGCAAGACATGCTTATTGACACTTCTGCTTCAGAGTGCTTGTGCATGGTGCTGCTTACAGGACCAGCTGTGC